AGAAAAAACATATTTATAACGAGAAGGGACTTGTGAGACGCTACGGGTCACAACTTTTATACCCGGTACTCAGTGGTTCATCTTTACCTTTTGTGGTTTTCTTCGGATTCTACATCTTTTCTACATCTACATCTAAATAACGTCTGTTAGCTCACCCTCCTCCCCAAGAGCCACACACTTTGCGAAGCAGAGTCTGGATTGAAAGAATGTAAAAAAAAACTAGCAAAGCTGCTGGATGGGATGGGGGTAGCCTCTGGCTAAAATAATGATCCAATCTGATCCCCATTCGGTGATCTGGTGTACATATATGGTCATTCCCTAGGTAATCGCTTTTTTTAGATTCCTCTAATCTTCAAAATTGTTTAATTTTTGAAATACACTTGTTTCAGAGTGATATTCCGCAGTCTGGAGGCAAAAATCGGTGTCTCTAGGTTTTATGGTCTCTGAGATCCAGGCGCTCAACAAGACGAATGGGCGGACAGGCGGACAGACAGTCATGGCAATATCGACTCGGCTATTGATGCTGATCAAGAATATATGTATATACTTCATGGGGTCGAAAACGTTTCCTTCTGTGTGTTACACTTTTGTGCACAAATACAATATACCCTATTTACTCTTCGAGTATCGGGTATAATAAATATGTATGTAAAAAATACAATGTAAGAGATGTACATATGTGGAGTGGCTTATTAAAAAAATGTTGCCGAAGTTAGATGACTAATATATGTATCTATGTATAATTTTTAAAGAGGTTGTTTGTCTGAGAACTCGGACTTCCAAAATATATATGACACCAAAAATGTATTTCTGTATCCCGCATTAACAAATAAAATTATTGCATTTTTCATTTTTTTGAACTAAATTGATTTTTTATTGTTGCTTGGCTTATTCTGTTTTTTTTCGATTCCTTGTTTTTATCTTGTTGACTCATTAAGTAATATTTTTTCCTCTCCACACCTCCGTCCTTGCTTGTTAAGCTAGTATTCGATTGTTTAAAATATATTTCCACTTACGAACTAAATAATAAGCCATGTTTTTTTGAACACAGTGAATTAGAAAATGAAGGGTATTTTTAATATTTGTATGCATCTCTTGTATTTATGTATGGAAATTGTTATTCATTTGAAAAAACTGTATTTAGGAACACAAACAACCTTAAAAAGTATTTTATTTTAATTATATTTTGTTTTTTTTTTACTTTTGCACTGCTGTTTGTTAGAATTATTAAAATGAGTAAACTGTGATTAAAAAATTTATGTTTTTTAAATTGTATTATTTATTTTTTATTTTTTGTAAAAAAGGTGATTTAAAATGCGCTTTAGTTGAAATAATTTATATTTATTCTTTAACGATAATTTATTATGACTTTTCCTGCTTTCGCTTTTTAATTAAGCTATACCTTTCGAGTCAAACGGATTAGCTTTTAATGTACTGCAATCCCTAGTTTTTATAAAACTTAAAAAATCATCGAATGACACCTTGTAATTGCTCGGCTTTATATTTATCATCCATATCTCAAAGGTATTTCTTTGACATTCTGTTTTTTTTTGTTTTTAAATCTTATGATACAGTTTTCTGGCTTTCATTTCTCATTACCTGTTAAAATTTCTGTATTAGTTTTTTAAATTTTTTTTATGTACATCAGATAACACTACTCGACCAAATCGAACTTTTTTTCCGCTTCGAGCCAAACCAAATTTCTTTAAAGAATTGTGTTTTTTTCTATGACATTACTTTTTTTAAAGAATTTTTAAAGTATAGGTTTTTTTAGCGTTTTTTTTTTAAGGTAGCGCTTCTTTTTTTCACATAACAACAAAAAACGAAAAAAATAAAAAAATCTTCCTGTTGGCGGGTTGCGTGTGCAATTGCCAGATTTTTTCTAGCTTCAGACTCGAAAAAATACTGAAAAAAACTAAAATATTTAACGGGAAAATACGGGTTTTTTGGGTTTTTAGTGTTTGTCTAGCTCAGCAGTCTCTAAATAGATTTTGATGAGCAATACCTTAAACAAGGCCTAAATAAAGCAACTTTACATACAAAAAATAGTAGACAGTACAACAGTAGAGTTCTTAAATTGAAATTCGTAAAAAAAAGACCTCTCAAGAATACACATCAACATCAAGCGCCAAAAAACACGAACATTTTAAAAATTATTTAAGAAAACATTTCTGCTATAACAACAAAATTACCATCAAACCATTTCTCAGCCCCATATCTTTCAGAAAAATGTATTCTGGATCGAAGCAGCAAAAGTCGTAGCTATGTAGAAATTGTATATAATAGCTTGTGGAAAGAAAGGTATAGTTGAAACCTAGAAAAAGCTATCGATTACGTATCAATGTAAAAAAGGAGTTTGAGTTTCAATCAGATTCTTTTCATCACTCCGTCTGTGAAAGCGTCAGCGTGTTATCATATCTGGCATTCCTATAGGGTACTGATTGGCTAACTTAACCCATAACAGCTATTAATTCACTTTCTTTCATTTGGGTGTTAATCGGAACTTAATTATGGTCAACGGCAGATTCGCGGGCCGAATTCGTGGCATCGGCTCAACATTATCGCCCTGTTATGACTTGAATGAGTATGATGTAGTTTAATTTTTGTATTTTCAATTCGTTGAGTGTCATCTAATAATATTATTATCATAATAAATGGGTGCGTGTGCTCTTATTGGTAGATATTTTCGTAGAAGGTTTAATGACTTTTACTGTTTTCAGCGCGGGTTTTGCTGGTTGTGCTTCCCTGCTTTTGTTTTCCAATGGCATTGTTTGATTTGTATCATACAATTTCCTTACATGCTACTTTATTTGTCTGATTATCTGCTACAGGGAGTCGAAACTGTCTGCGGAACGGTGAAAAATTATCTTAAATGATGGAGTGAGTCTGTGGTAATTTGGATAATGCTGTGGAGGGTGGTGGAATATTTATTAGATCTTTCGATTTGTTTTGTTTTCACGGGATATTAATTTTATTTATTTATATTATTTATTATTTCAACATAGTGTTGTGCTTGTTTTGGTAAAGTAATATAATATTGGTAAATATTATTACATACATACACATATTCATGTAAGTGAGTAGAGTATGTCCAAGGTTTAATTACACCACTCGACAAAATCGATTTTTTTCCTCAAAACCAAACCAAATTGTTCTGATTGATTTGGTCCTTTCACATTTTTTTTCTATGGCAGAACTTTCTGTTTAAAATATTAAAGAAAAGTTTAAATTTAAAAAAAACTAGTATTTTTTGTTAATGCTTTTTTCAGAGGTAGCGGTTCGATTTTTTAAATAAATTAGGATCTTTGATTTGGATGTAATGTAATGTAATGTACATTGTCATTCGGAAATAATTTTTGACGCAGCTTAAAATTGGACCCAAACACTTGGTTGTTTTAGTTTACCGTATGGGAAATATATGGCTTTAAAACTTAAAAAATTATGATTTTGTGAGGTATTTTTTAACAAAATTTCGATTTTAAAAACTCAGGAAAAGTCTACCAAAAAATGTTGCCTATGTTATTTTTGTATACCCTGTATTCGAAGAGTAAATATTGTAAATTGTATTTGTGGGGAAGAGTGGATGTATGTAACACACAGAAGGAAACGTTCCCGACCCTTTAAAGTGTGATCTTGATCAGCACTAATATCCGAGTCGATACATCCATGTCTTCATACAGTGTGCTGCTTTACGGGAGAGGGGCGAGCTAGAAAGGACGTAGATTAAGTTGACAGATGTAGAAAAAATTGAAAACACCAAAAATAAAACAATAAGCTATAGCTAAGTACCGGGTATAAGAGCGTCTCACACGTTTTTACTTTTATTTTTGTGTATGGCACAAGCCATGCTTCTGAACGGTAAATTCTCATCTGGCTGCCATAATCGAACCGAACAAACGTTAGTGGTTCAAATACTAGTAATGATAATTACATAATAGCATGTCCAGCAGCCGGCTTATGATTTTCGGACTCAACAGCTGATGAGATAACTGAAATAAGATTGCCAAGTCTTCAAAAGAGGAAATTTAATAATTGTCTGCGAAAGACAGATCTTAAATAAAGTTGAAACACAGTTCAAAACAAACAAAAACGAGAAGGGACGTGTGAGATGCTTCTTACGAGTCACAACTTTTATACCCGACACTCAGTACTACTTCTGCACCTTAGCGGTGTTTTGGTTTAAAGGCAGAGGCAGAGGCCGAGTGAATGAGAGAATGTGAAAAGAACAACAAAAGCTGCGGGACAGGGTGGGTTTAGCCACTGCAAATTAATTTCTTCATTGTGGCTATAATAATAATCCAATCTGATCCCAATTTGGTGACGTGATATATATGGCTATTCCTTACGGAATGGCGCTTTTAGTTTTTTTATCTTTAAAATTGTAGGTTTAGGAGGTTTTCGCCTTTTTGCAGGGGTGGACGAGGGCGGGGTCATTTTTGAAATACACTTGTAACAGTGAGAGCATACAGCAGTCTGGAGCCAAAATTTGGTGGCTCTAGCTCTTAGTCTCTGAGAACTAGCCGACAAACAAGACGGACAGACAGACATGGCTCAATCGACTCGGCTATTGATGCTGACCAAGAATATATATTCTTTATGGGGTACATACAACCGTTATTCCCCACAAATACAGTATACCCTATTTACTCTTTGAGTACAGGGTATAAAAAAAACCTTAAAAAAATGAGATCTCTTTTTAATTCTTTAAAATAGTTTTTCTGTAGAAGAGGAAAAGTTGGTTTGGTTCCTTGAGGGAAAAGCGAGCCGGGTAGTGCTATTTTTCATGAATTTTGTCTGTGTTTCTAGGTTTTTTTTTTTGCTGTTTATGTCTAATATTTTGATAACTCTACTAGACAAAATTCAACTTCTTTTTCCGCTTCGAGCCAAACAAACTTTTTCTGTTTTTGTTTTTTGTTTTCCTTTGCAGAATTTTTTTTTTTAATTTTTGGTATTATTTTGTAACGGTTTTTTTTAGAGGCAGCGCCTATTTAAAAAAGTTTGATTTTGTCAAGTAGTGTTACCAACATATTTTTTCATCTTTTCGTATTTTTTTTATTTACATTGGAGTTTTTTAACGGTAAATGTATTCAATAACTAAAAGTATCAGTCTGTTTCAAACCATGCCTAAAAGTATTATTTTTTAACTTCTTATCCATTCTATTAATAAGATATCCCAATATCAGTTTTATCAGTTTGAGTTGGTTTTTCGAATGCTCTTGTGTTTTGTTTACGGTTATTAATTATTTATAAATTCACTGGTTTCGCACACTGTCTCTGCCTCTTATCTCCTCCATTTTGCGATATCCTCCGCCTGCCCTGCTGCCCTGCCCGTTACGCCCATAGATTATGCAGTTGTTTGCCGTCCTGGACATTGTCCTCCAGCTCGTTTAGGCTCAGATTGGACTCGTAATGCGTTAACTCCGGCTGCCTGCTATTGTTGCTGCTGCTACTCATCGTCACACTGCTCTGGGTTCCGCTCTCCAAGCCCATGCAACCACAAACCAGTTCGTCGTCCGCATTGCAGTTGCAGGGCTTCTTGCAATTGTAGGCTCCCCCAGTGGGACCGAGTAGCGGCACAAAGTTGGAACTGAAGCTGGAGGGCAGAACGGTGGTCGCGGAGCTTTTAGCCAGGACGCGCTTACCGGTTCCTTGGCTGATACACTCGCAGTTACTGCGTTGCTGCTGGAGTTGCTGCTTGGAGTAGTCCACGCTGTCGTAGGCTGGAGCAGCATTGGGAACATACGCAGGAACGGCGTACTCATGCTGACTCCGCCGATTCGGATGCGGCTGCTGCAGGGGATGATGATGATGGTGCTGGTGCTCCAGTGTCTTGGCCATCCCGACGCCCACACTGAGCTCGTGCTGCTTCTTGGACAGCTGGTTCATCGTGTTGAACTTGCAGGCGGCGGCGGCTGCTGAAGCTGATGTAGGAATGGGCTTGTAGCCCGCGCCTCTGGTACTGCCCACAGCACCGCACTCGTTGATCGTGGCGTAGTTGTTGCTGCTGCTGCAGTCTGCATAGAGTTTGTCGCCCAGACGAGCCGCTGGAGGGGGCACAGGCACTCCACCAACTGTAGTCCCCCCTGATTGGTATTCATGAGAGGACGAGTACATGTTGGCCAAAGGAGCTTGGGCTGCCAGGCAGCCCGTAGCCCTCTTGTTATTGTTGGTTCGACCTTGGGGCAAGGGGAGAGCCAGTCTCAATTTTTGCCAGAACTTCTTGTCGTCCCACTCAATGCACGTGCTCGTCCGGAGATAGTGCCGCATATCGAGATCGATGTCCCTCTGAGGAAGGTCTCCATACAGGATAAAGACAACTCGTTTTCTTCGCTTGACCAACTCGTGAAGAGCGCTCTTGTACTCGAACCGGGACCACTCGTTGTACAGGAAGTTCTTGGATAGGACCAGGACAAACTGCTTGGCACTCTCCGCTGCCTCGATCAAGGCATCTGCTATGTACGCATTGATGTTAACGTCCCTATAGTGCAGGCATAGGCGATACCCAATGTCGCTCTCTAGGGTATTGGCCAGAATCTGATTTACAAAGGGATCGTCCTGCAGGCTGTACGCAAAGTAGGCATCATTGGGTCGTTCCTTGTCCAACTGGTCCACGAAACGAGTCGAGCGATAGCAGAAGTTCATTAAGCAGCTGGTAGAATGAACCCACATCTTGAGCTCGTGACGGTAGCAGAAAAGGCAAAAAATGAGACCAAAGAAGGCTACAAAAGCGCAGGTGGCTACCAGGAGCAGGGGTAGCAATCCTTCAATCTCATTTGTGTGCATGTAGTGAGCCACTCCATCCCTCAGGGTGCACTTGGTCCCGTTCTTCTCTCGCAGCACACTCGTGGCGTTGTTGTAGATGCAGCTGACCCGAGAAGCATCGATAATCTTCTCGGAGCTCTGAGCCAGATAGTTGCGAAAGCGGGCCAGGTAGCCGCACTCGCAGTTCCATTGGTTGTCCGCCAGGCTGATCTCCACCAGATACGGATTAGCACTCAATTGCCACACCTCAAAGTGCATCAGTCGGTTGCCGTCGAGTCGAAGCACCTCCAGCTTCCTAAGCATCTGAAAGCTACCATTCGCTATGCTGGCAATCCGATTGGTTTGCAGATATAGCTCCCGCAGATTTTCCAGGTTGTTGAACTCGTTGCCCTCTAGCGAGACTATGTGATTATCCTCCAAATGCAGAATCAGCAGGCGCTTCAGTCCACTGAACGTTGTGTTGTGTATGTAGACCACATTCGAGTTGTTGGCAAACAAGACGACCAAATTTTTCCTGCCAAGGAATGAGTGCCCTGCCAGTTCCATAAAGTTATTACCGTCGATGTAGAGCTCTGTGGTGTCCATGGGCACGCGACGCGGCATCTCCGTGTAGCCAGCGCCTGAGCACTCAACTATATTTGTGGACCAGGTCTGGTCGTGGAAGCAAGTGCAGTTGCTGGGACAGGTCATCTCACAGTCGCAGGCATCGAACTCGCAGCAATGGCAGACGGTAAAGCAGTGCGTCTTGTACGTGCACAAGAAATGCTTGGGCTCGGCCTCAATCAGGGGAATATAGGCCCTCTCGCGGTTGTTGAGCAGCTTGCAGTAGATGGTCTCGAGGTCCATTATGCGAGGGTACTGACGCGACGTAATATGATTGATCTTTTGCAGCCAATCGATGTTGCAGTCACAGGTGAAGGGATTTCCCCCAATATAGAACTCGGGCAAGGCACGGTGCTCCCACACAGGTAGAATACGCAGCGATTTGATGTCCAGTGTGGTTATCTGATTGGCATACAGGTCTACCCGGGTGAGGTTCGACTTGTGCATGAAACTGTCCGGATCCACGGTGGTGATTTGGTTGTCATTCAAGAACAACAACTCTATGGAGTTGGGTATAGCACTAGGACCAATACGCTGAATCTGATTGAAGCTTACGTCCAGAGTCTGAAGCCTCAGGTCGGCATCCAATCCGAATCTATTAGACAGGGCGTACAAGCGGTTCTTGTGCAAGTCCAACCATTGTAGTGTAGATGGCACATGACCATAATCGAAGCTCTCAAGACGATTATCGGAGATGTTGAGCCACAAAAGGGAGGGCATATTGCTAAACAGACCATTGATATCATTCAGCTCATTTCCATCCAATCGGATTGCCTGAATGCTGGAAGTCATCTCGAAGGCTCCCGGCTCGACGACAGCAATTCGATTTCGGGCCAGATTAAGTATCTGCAGGCTGGGAAGATCTCGGAACGTGTGCATGGTAATATTTTCCAAATAGTTGCCAATCAAGCGCAGGCCGTACAGATTTCGCAGGCCCTTGAAAGCACTCTCCTCCATCACTCTAATCATGTTCTCACCCAGGTCCACAGTGCGCAGATGTCGCATGCTGCGCAGTGCCAAGGGCACTGTCTTTAGCTGATTGCCATTCAAATTGAGATCCTGCAGGGCACTGCAGTTGCGAAAGGCGTCCGGATGCACTCCAATCAGTGCATTATTGTCCAGTGACAACAGCGACAGCACATAAAGCCCGTTCAGGGCGTAGGAATCCAGGTATTTGAGCTTATTGTGGGACAGCAGAAGCGTATGCAGGTTGTTCATCGGTGCGAAGGTGTCCGCGGCAATGTTCTCCAGTTGGTTGTGGCGCAGGTTGAGAATCTGCAGCGTATATAGGTCACTAAAGATTTCCGGCTCCAGCTTGGTCAGCTTGTTGTGTGACAGATTAAGCAACACTAATCGAATAAGACCCACAAATGTGCTCCGGTCAATCCATGTGGAGGTTATTTGATTCATGGAGAGGTCTAGGGCCTTCAGCTGGTCCAGATTCGAGAACAGCTGGGGATTTAGCACACTGATAGAGTTATTCTGCAGATATACCTCCTGAATTATCTTGGCCTGCTCCGCAAATAGTTCCGTGGGCAGGGCCACAATCTTGTTGGAGCTAAGATTAAGCACCTGGAGGTTCTTCAGGCCACTCAAAGCCTTGTCGGCAATCATTGAGATTCCATTATTGTTTACGGCCAGAACGCGAAGGCGTCGCAGGGTGCCAAAGCCATTCGCGGGCAGAACGACAAAATCATTGTGACTCACATCAAGGAACTCCAGGTCCAAAGAGCAGCTGCTGGTACTGCTGCCTCCAGCTCCACGCTTCGCCGACTCCGTGGAGGAACTCGACTCCGTCGAGGCTGTGGCTGAGGGCTCTTTGCTGCGGTCCCTGAATCCCAATTCGTTGACATCCTGCAAGCGATTCTCGCTCATATTAAGAGCAGACAGTGCAGACAGAGCGCAGAAGATGTTTTCCGGCAGGGACCAAATGTTGTTCGAGCTCAGATCCAGACGTTCCAGCTGCTTGGTCACTGCGAAGGCATCCGCCTCAATCTCGAAGTTAAGCGCAGGCCAAAGGACGTTATGGGTTCGCAGCGTCAGGTTTCGCAGCTGGTCGAGACCGTCGAGAACCTGGCGTCCCAGCTTCCCCAGCTTGCAATACTGGATGGACAACTGATGGAGGCGCGCCAGGTGGGCAAAGGACTGCGCCTCCAGTCGGCTCTTGGCCATGATCTCATCGTTGCAAAGGATGTGAAGGGCCACCGTGTGATCCGCTGGAATCACACTGAAATTGGTCGTGTCGAATTCGCTGTTGACCGTCCTCAGGTTGCAGGTAAGTGCAATCTCTGGCTGGTCCAGGCCGGCAGCGGGCATAAAGTGACAGTCATCGGGGGCATCGTATAGGGCGGGATCCCTCAAGCCATCAGCTCCAGGGAACCCTTCCGACAGGGGACGCAGCGTCCTGGCTGGAGTGGAGGGCTGCAGGAGCTGAGTGTTGGACGCACCGGCCTCGCCCATGATGGCATTCGAGTGTGCCTGCTGATGCTGCTGGTGCTTGGTTGACAGGGGTTCCGTGTGTTGCTGCTGCTGGGGCTGTTCTTGTGCTAGGCTGAAGACCACAGCAAGCAGGCACCAGGGATAGTAGTGGATCAGCATAGTGATGGATCAATTGCAGCTTACGAGTGAATTGGGGAAAAAGGTTGGCTCCGTTCCCTATATGCAACTCATATATATAGGGTGAGTAAGTGGTGAGTGGGAGGTGTGTAGGGGAAAACGAAAGGAAATCAATTCCCCTGGATTGCCAGGAAAAAGTCCGCGCACATATTTTCGGCTTCCCTTTAGCTGCTGCGTCTAATGGAGCCTGCAAAATATATTTTTTCAGCTTTTTGCAATATAGTTATTTTTTTGTCGTGGCGAAGCTTCGTTTCGTTTTTTCTTCGTGTATACTCGATATACGAAGTGTAACTCTCCGGGTTGCTAGAACTCGCGGAACATTTTCGAGCACATTTCAAGGGACACTTCGACTTTGTAATTATTACACGACGCGGCGTTGATGTTGGAACCTTTGATGAATATTAATTTTCTGCGGGCGCGTGTGCTATCACTTTGCGAATACCTCTCTCCAAAAACACAACATTCTCCGAACGGAACAGAACTAAACCTATTTATGTGGGTGCGCGTGTGCGGTTGTGTGTGTGCGTGATTTATATGCAGTTGAGGTAAGCATCGTTGCACCGTACCGTGTGTGTTGCGCGCTGTCCGAGTTCTGAGAGTCGAGTAACTGAAACTCTCACTTAAATAGAACGTTTGCCGCAGGATGGATGGCGTTGGCGATGGCTGTCTGCACAGAAGGAAAATTTCGAGAGAACAATTTTTCCCAAAGGGAAATTCGCTCCGCTTCAGTGAGAACGGCTGAGATGCTGGGAGAGGGACAGGATTTCGTTAGGATTCCGAATCCCTTCGGTGGTAAACACTCGTGTTTCTTCGCATGTATTATTTTACTTCTCTGCTTTTTCCCTCTAATCGCTTCAAACAGCTGGCTATCGCGGCATTTTCCTGTTGTTTTTCTGTCTGTTGTTGGTGTTTCATCGGTTGTATCCTTTTTCTGCCGCCGACTCGGGAGTCGGCTTCTTCTCTGGGCGCGTCCCCCGTATAGGACTCTCTGTCGCTGTCTCTGCTTTGATAATGAAAATATATTATGTGCATGGGCCACGGCAGCGACAATCTTCATACAAATGTAATTTATTTTTATTTCACTACTACGTGTTTATGAGTGTATGTGAGTGTGTGTGTGTGGGGCGGGCACATTGTGGGCCTGGGTCTCATTTAAAAATTAAAGCATTAAATTACAATAATAATTATAATTAAACTGTTTTTGTTTTGCGGCTCATGTAGCAATTTTTGCTGTACTTCTTTTTATCTCCAATGAAACAACTAGAAAATTCTCTATCATCAGGCTATCGGTGATGATTATGATAGCGATTATATGGATGTACTGAATTAGGTCCAGTGTTGGTGGTTTTAAAACCATAGACATTTTGGTAGAGCTTATAAAATATTGCTACGATAGGAACTAGCATAAAGGTTGGGAACATTTTTTTTTTACCTTGATATGCAATGACGACACCATCAAGCCGAAGACTGTTACGAGCGGAACTCAGCAAAACGCAGACCTCCTCCCGCCCAATCAACCGAGGAACGCTGCCGCATGACGCGCATCGCGCTTGATGTTATTCTAATATTCGAGCAAAATTAGTTGTTCTGTTGTTGGTATTTTTGAATCGAAGTGATGAGTGATTTGATTAGTTGTTTAAAGATTTATTATAGTCATATGACTCATTAGTATTTATAAATTGAAGTATATTAGTATATTTCTAACATATTCTCCCTTCTACACAAAATCGTATTATTTACCAAAGCTTCCTTTAATCATGCATTATTTATAAAGTAAATAAATTATCCAGAATAGTTCATTTTGTGTATAAAATAAATATGTGTGTACAACTGGCACCTTCCATTTGAAATAGATTTCAATGTGTAACCCTGTTTGACTGATAACCCACGACTAATTTAATTCCAAAAACTCGGACGAGGCATACGCCTATTCTCGGAGTTTTTCTCCTAGAGTGCAGGAAAGTTTTTCCCGATATATACATATGTACATATGAGATCATGCATATTCTCGTTCTATAGGCATTTGTCCACCATCAAGACCCAAACACAAACAGAAAAAAACATTTTTAGCAAATTGCGTCAGTGGTGGACCCCGCTATCAGCAGGGCTAATGATTTGCCTAATGCTTCTAACAATTATGGAACCGGGACACACAAAAGAATATATTATGTAAGTTATTAAAATTATACCACCAGCCACAGCAGCCAAGTCTTATAAGCCTCCCTTAGCTCCTCCACTGTCATCACCGCCTTCTGTGTTCTGCGGCTCTTTCAAATGTAAATGGCGACGACGTTTTTGTTGCTACTGTGATTCCTTTGTGTGGTGGCACAGAGAACCAAGGAAAAATAATTTTTCTGGTCTTTTTCGTGGGTTATCAATTTGGCGAACGCTTCTGGCTTTTGTCCTGGTCGTGCTTGCGGTACTGGTCCTGGTCCTTGTCTTGGCTCCTTTATTTATGTGCTCCATAATTTCGCAGGTTACTTTCTGTTTTTTTCTGGCTACTTCTCTAATGTGGTTCCTTCTCTGGTGGTAACACGAATGACAAGATTTTCATCAACGTCATTAATATTAACTTTTGAAATAATTCTGGAGCTGTGGAAAATTATGAGAAATGACCCACCAGATAAAGAGCGAAGTACTGGTCCACTTTTCGACAAAGCCATAACTCTCAGAGAGATTGGATTGGTTTCATGGCCGATTCTGGGTACTGGGTGCCCTTGAAATGATATTATCGCGACGGCTGGGCGTCTTTCACGTCAGTCTTCATTTTGGCTGCGTAGACTCGGCCTATTGACAGAATTACGGATTACTTTCACTCAAAGAGGGCCCGGGATTTTCAAGGAACGCTTCCGTGGATAGACGAACAGCACAAAAAGGTTGCATATTTGATGGCAACATAGCAGCTTTACTTGTAACTCGATGTCTTAGACAGAGACAATGAAAAGGACTGGGATTCAGAGCAATGGTACGGTGGTGTCTCCTTTCTATCCAGAAAAAAATCACAATTATATGTTACAATTGCGTCTCTGGGGGCCATGAACGACAAACGCACCACATGAAATCGTAGTAACAGAAGCTGAGGGATTAAGAGGTAGGCTGAGTTGAAGCAGGAGCATTCTCTCAGTTGATTTTCCAATGCCAGCCACATACACATTCACCCTCAGTGTTTATCCCCATCCCAAGGATCTCTCTACATCCCGTTTTGGGGCATTTGTCTCTTCTCGTTGTCTCCTTTCTGTTCACTATGTTTGCGTTTATTAATTGTTGCCTTTATTTGGCCTCATTTTATTTGATTTGGTTTTCCTTCGGCTTTTCTTTTGCTATTCCTACCCCACTGCTTTTCTGGTCTTTTGTTTTCAAAGCAGAGCAGACGTAGCGGCAGCTATAAAGCCGAAACTAATTGACTTATCTTGCCTTGGATTTGCTAATTTCTTGGCAGTTGTGTCTCATTGTCTGTTGCAGTCCTGAGCTTCAGCCATAAAAATAGACAGATAAGTCAGTCAGTCACTGAGGCAGACAGCAGAAATTTTCGTCGCACTAATTAGAAATTGACATGAATTGTTCATTAGCAGCAAACTAAAGCTATAATTTAAACAAGCTCTCTCTGACTAGGCGGCAGGATATAAATCAGCCAGGAAAGATAGCGAAGACAAGCTACAAATCTCTACACTTGTAAAAATATCATCTCGACTATGTACCTTTTTCATTGATTTCGGCGGATTGAGCAATAGCAGATGCTTTACCACATTTCAATAGGCAATGCTATGGGGTCAAATTCAGACTCAATCAATAATGATACAGAATTGTCTTGATTGATTCATATTTTTAATATGAACATAATTATGTTAATATATTCGTAAATCTATTTTCGTAAATCCCCCTGAATATTTTGCAAGTCAAAACCATTGTTTTGCTCAAGGGAAGCTTCTTGTCATGTAATACTAAGGGCCTGCATAGGCAAACTAAGAAAAATTGTATTACACAACTTACTCATCATTTTGCATCTCTTGAAGAGCACAGAGTCGGTTTCCCAGTGAAACATATTAATCCTAAGTATGGTACGACCGAATTCCATAATGACAATTTTTCCAAAAAGAATATTGTACAAGCCAAGGACATGCCAAACAAGGATATGACGGAAAGGAAAAAAAGGTAGTTGGAATTACAGGTAAGTTATGGCCCCGTCGACCTTCAAAACAGGCCACAGTCCCAGTTCAGCTAGTTCGGTTAGGTTTGGTCCACACATACACAAAACTGGCCACAGATCTGTGGGTTATGAATATGTGGAAACCGGAAATCAGACATGTGGGCATCTAAAACGGAAACGGAAAAGTACCTGGGGAAGGATAGGCGGGCAATATTTCTTGAATTGAATTCCATTTACAAAGGGCAGGTCTGCATGGGTGGGTGCGTGACTTGGGTGGGATGAGTTTCGAGCCATTGCCCATCCACCAATTTAGTTGTCAAAATACGCAAAAATGTAAACAATCAATGACCATTGAGCCTCAATTGAATTGAGAGAAATATCGGTCATGACAAAGCCAAAAGAAAAGATGCTTCCAACTGGGCTGGCTTGACATTTACCTACATGATACTGCTTCCGCTAAAATGACAGTCAAAAGAGACAATGCACAGGGCTCATAAAGATATTTGGGAATCAACAAACTAACAGATACATTTTTTATACCTCAATCCTATAAAAAAGCAAGAAGGACTGTTCCGAAGACACACACAGAGAAGATGAATTGACATTGGCAATGCTGCAAAATGTCCTTTTAAAGCAAATATAAGAGGATAACTGGACCACCTTTAATCCTTAACATCCGCAAGCGTTTGCCTTTTATTCGCTTCCTTAGATTCCCAAATCGTCTTTCAAAATTGTGGATTGTGTGCATGACTATTGAATTTTGCATTTAAAAATGAAGATGTGGGGAAGAGAGGGAAAATATGCATAGAAGTGATCAAATCTTCATCGAGATGACAACCCCAGGGCAGTCAGGGCAGCGATTTTTGTAGATAAGTTTAATTTTCTTTTTGCTGAAAATATTGTTGTGTCCTCTTCAATCTCAGGTACAAGTGATGAAAATGCACCACTGTTTACCCAACAAAAAATGGCTGGTTCTGTCCTGAAAGGAAAACTACAAAAATATGAGATTAGATGGTTATCTTGGAATTAACAAAAATTTGGAAAATTTAATCAGATTCCTGATCTGCACAAATCTTAAAAAGATGGAAAGTTGGAAACATCAGTATAAATGGATTGATCAGATGGGATCAAAAATATGGGAGAGGTTAAAATGTACATATGTATGTATCGTTTGAAATGTTTCTCAATTTAAAATACATATTTCCTGTTTTTATACCCGGAACTCGAAGAGTAAATAGGGTATATTGTATTTGTGCCAATAACGGTTGTATGTAACGCACAGAAGGAAACGTTTCTGACCCCATAAAGTATATATATATATTCTGATCAGCATCAATAGCCGAGTCTATGTCTGTCTGTCCGTCTGGTGGCTAGAGCCACCAAATTTTGCATCCAGACTTCTGTATGCTCACACGGTTACAAATGTATTTAAAAAATGAGCCTGTGGTCAATAGTCTCTGAG